CAGTAGTACTGCCATACCTAGCATCGTATTTATTTCTCTCTTACATAAGGTGAAATGTCACAGGGTTGTCATGGTAACGATAATTTGGCATACTATTTATTGTCTTATTCTTTTATCTGCGATTAGAATTTAAATCAGTTTTGGCGTGAGCATGTTTAGAGAAAAGAAGCTGTAAAACGAATACTAATGTGATCGAACCTATAGGCCTTTGCCTAAGCGTGTTTCAAGCCACCTACATAAAAACCTTCATGATAAATATCTGATAATCCATGGCACGATTCCAACCATATCATGAGCATGTGTTTGTGAATCATAATCAAATAGTGATGTTACAAGGCGTCCATGCCGCGTCAACAGCACATGGAAACGCACGAGAATTGCAATACGGGCCCCTAAACCACAGATGCTCCGTGACCTGGAGACACAATTCATATGATTGAGCGTATGTAGGCAAAAGACAAAATGGATACTCGTGCTGTTATGCTTTTGAATTATTAAGTATTCGTTCTTGTCACGGGATACAAGTATACTTTCCAGTTTCAACCAAATGTACATTCAAAGGATATCGAAATCTAGGTTAAGCTATTGGAATCATATTTACAATTAAAAGACCCAAACAATGGTCTGTTGTCCAAATATTTTGTTTTCCATATCTTGTCCCAATCTGTATCCAGAGACCTTACAATAGTCTATTACATAGTCTCTGTTTTATCATAGTCACAGAACGATATTACTTCCCCTTCCGCCCAGCCCTTACTGTAATGCTTACGCCCTAAATGAAGCATATCTAGATATTCCCAGGTTCAGCGTCTGTTAAAACTCACTGCAGGGTTCGGGTTACAGAGTAAACAATACCAAACACCGGCGGCTGGCGGGGACCAACATCTTCAGTAACATTTACATCTGCCAACGCTTAATTCGCAAGTGGTGAGGCAATACGCTAGTGAGGCTAAGGGTCCTGTATCATGTTTGTGAAATATCTATGATGCCTTATATGAAGTCAATAATCTAAGCAAGTCTAGCTATGTATGGCTTTAAGTCACTGCTTGAAGAAAAGCTCCTTTAGAATTCGATTTGGTAAATATTAGTATTTCACTGACTCAATCATATTGGAAAACGCATAGCAGCCTATAATTCATTGTGACTATGATTAAGCCATCACTGTAAAACACAAGGGTTATTTCCTTTGAGTTAACTGACAGGCTTTCGGTATCAAATATTTAGAACTCCAGCCAAAGGTGATGTTATGCTGTCTGGAAATATGGCGTTTTTGTAATGCTTTGGTTGCACTTAATGATAAGTGATTGTTAAATGTACATATGATGTTTTTGAAGGATAATCTTAGCTGACTCAGAGACTTTGCATGTGTTTCCCCCCACTCTTTCCACACCCATCCTTCAGTTTTGATGTTTGTGACATGATCTGCACGCTGATAATTTAAAACAGGTATATAAATAATAACTGTTTGCAATCTTTACCCAATTTAGTTTTCCATTTATTTAGCAATTTTCAGTTTCTATCAATTTCTGGAAATTTTGTACGGAGGTACATTTAATTAACAGTTTCACCCAATAACAGTAAAGCATACTTATAAAACGTTTCGGTACTTTGATAGATTAACAAGTTCACATTATGTTCCATGATATTGGGATGCCAAAATGATTAACATTATTATATAATGTATAACAAATCAGACAGCAAAAAGCAAAAAGCAAAAAACGCATGAGCAACATAAATGATGTCAGGTAGTAAGCTTTCAATAATTACAGAAACTGCTTAGTTATATAACTTTATGAACTAATTGCAATCGCTACAGTTTTCTATAATCTACCCAAGAGATGGAATCAAAATAGGTTTACAGTATATTCCGTCGGGTAACTGAAATTTGATAAAACGTCCGTATCGGACAACATCTGTATTCCGAATCAAAAGAGGCCATCTCACGTAGTGGTGTAACGATTCATCGATAGTATCTATGTTTGCATAGTCAACTATGCGATACGAATGCATCAATACAAAACACATTTAGGCAATACATCAGGATATTAATATCGCAAGGGTCCGTGATACATCGATGTATCGCCACAAGAGACGATATATCCCGATACTACTGAAGTACTACTGAAAGTTGTAAGGAGTATTGCATTAGGAAAAGGAAGGGAGTCTCTTTGAAATTCTTCTGAAGTGAACCTTGTACTGTGAGACGAACTTAAGAATAATGCCGACCTGTCAAATACCCATCGCGGGAACGCATTTACCAGGCGCGTAGCAAGCCAATTTTTTCGTGTAAGCCCGATAGGTTGCAAAGCTGTTTATTTAGTTAGTGTTGAGGCCTTGCCCAACTTTCATTTTCAAAATCATGTCTAAGCCCGGGGCTTTTTTCATGGTGATAATTTCAAAACCCCAAATCACTTTATTAGGCATTGGGCTAAAAATGGAATTTTAACAATTAAGGACCTTTGTAATGAAGATAGTTTTATGTCTTTTGAAGATCTGAAACTCAAATTTGATATTGGAGGAACATATATGGTTTTTGTAATGTTGATAGTGAAACTGGATGTCATGTATATTGGGAATGTGTTGTAACCCAAACCTTCTGGAAAGAACTTGAAAACTGGATAATCCAAAACAAACAGAAATTTGAAATAAGAAAGACATTGGTTTGGTTTGTTTTTGGGTAATAAGCCATTGCTAAATCATATAATCTTTTCTGCTAAAAGACATATATATATACTTGCACTTTAAAGAAAATAATTACAAAAGTTAATAATGTCTTCAAATTTTTTAAAGACACTTACACGGTTGAAAAATCAATATCCAGGAGGAACAATAATTTTGATAATTTTCAGAGAAATGGTTTCCTTTATCCTCAGTTTTCAATCTCTTAATCTGTAATCAAACTGGAATAACTGTATTGCATTATAATTTCTTCATGCTACCAGTTGATGAACTTTGATCATGCATATGTACACTTTTGCTTTACTTTATATGCTTGTATTCAATTATGGGAACAAATGAAAAAACAAATCACTAAGAGTTTAAGGTAGCTGGTCACGTGATCATTATCGTATTCTAGTTTCAGACCATCACACCGATTTCAAATGAGATATTCTTCACGATCATTAAGGTTAACAGCTGTGGGCGGACATACATACATACCATTGCAACCGCTTCACAATATATTATATGCACAAATATTCTACATACACAATGAATTTTAGTAGAGTGGGTCGTTTATGTTTCCGTAGTTCCACCAGAAGACATTTTGGATAATAAATATCACACTTTTGATATAATCATAAACAATTAAGTGTTTCGCCATATATTCTTACAAACTTAGCTGCAAATACTTGCAATACTGCTGACTCACCTTTAAGCAATATTTACGTATTCACTCACTAAGTCTTTTGTCACTCCAGATGTTTTGTATGCATGCGTTGGTTATGTACAGCAAAGTATACCATATATACAGCTTAGTATTTCTAAGTAACCCACCTTCGTCACACTTTGGTGTGAAAGGTGTCAGTCGAGTTTATACAGGACCATTTGTGTGCCCTGTGGATACTATTTACACTCATATGGTCCTGCTTGCAAGTGCAATATAGCCATTATGTCACTGCATTCACCATACATTACCGATTTCCATATTGCATAAATACCTACACTGAGCACTTATCATCTTAACTTGACAACGACTGGTAAACATCTTTTGTCTTCAAAGAATAACCTGTCAACACCATTTGACAGCTTAACTACTCCACCTGTGACAAACAAATGTACTATGTGAACACCGAGGTTCACATTCGTCATGTGGAGGCACCTTTAGGACAATTGTGCATGTAGCTATGAGAAGAAGTACCGCAACCTTGAATATGACTTAGCTCTTTGTCGAGAAAATGTATACCAGTTCAGGTATAAAAAGAGGGGTATGGTCTTACAACAGCACGTAGCTCTCTTGATTCCAGCAGCGAGATTCTGACTTGGTTTCTGTTAAGCCCGGCAAAGCCATAACATACCATAACATTGATTAAATTGCTACAGTTCACAGAGGTGTCATAGCTCAGCACAGTTATCATTGAGGTACACAGACCAAAATAATGTTCAACACCACCCCTATGAAACTACGTCAGTGTTAAGTATCATGTGCACACATCGCACGTTGACAATGTTTTTCTCAAACTAATACATCGAAGTGTTCAAACTAATACATCGAAGTGTCCAAACTAATACATCGAAGTGTTCAAACTAATACATCGAAGTGTTCAAACTAATACATCGAAGTGTTCAAACTAATACATCGAAGTGTAAAGAAAGGAAAGAGAGAAAAGAAAGAAAGAAAATTAAAAAAAAAAAGGAAAAGAAAGAAAGAAAATTTAAAAAAAAAATTCGTGTTAGCCCGGTAGGTTGCAAATCTTTATATTTAGTTAATTTTGGGAGCTTGCCCAACTTTTCAAAATCATGTGTGAGCTTTTTTTCATAATGGTAGCTACGCCCCTGTTTACCTTCGTCCTTTATTTTGCGCAAGGTACTGACAGATATACCAGAAGCATCGCTGGCTTTTTTGAGTGCACTGTGTGGGCTGTAGGAAATAGTACACATGTACTGATTGACATTGTAGGCAACCTCGCGTGTTTGTGAATGAATGACTTGACCCCATTTACCCAATTTAGAGTGCGACATCATGCGTTTCAAATACCTGCAGAGTTTAATATTCTTGTAACAGTCCACTTTACAAGATACTAGTATACACATGCTCGAGCAGAAACACAACGTTTCCGAATCATTGCGTAGAAAGTGATTACTACAAGGATCACAAAAAGCACGTGCGCGAAGTTTTCACACCTGTTCCCCCTTCGAGTAGGTAGTGGATCAGTTCACGGCACGCTCCCAGCTCTCCTTTCACAAACGCGTCTTTCGCGCACCTCATTCTAATGTTGGTTGGACAGTAGGAATATTTGTTTGTATCTGTAGAAGTGATAGAGTGTGAACATTTCAAACTCTGTGAACTGTACAATACTTGTCTTCAAGCAATTGAAATATGTTTTAGTTGTTTGACAAATAACACCATTTATTCACAACTATGAAATATGTCTTAGCTTTGTAAAGAAAGAGTTTTTTCAGTGATTCTGAATTCTGATATAAATTACATTGAATTGTTTGTGAAAGAATTGGTGTAGAAACACAACTTCCCAAAGGAAACTTCAGTTCAAATATATTTTAAGGCGTGCTGAACATGTTTGACTGTACCTTCTTCAACATGAAATGCTGAAATTTTATGAGATCAACAGCTCTTTAAGTGTGTGTGTGAATGTAACACAGGTTTTAATGAATTTATAACTATTTTTAGTCACGATATGGCTGAAATACTGCCACTGTGACTATAAACTTTAACTCACTCACTCATGATATAACGTCTCGCCTCATTAAACTGGTATCAGGATATATCGTCCTTCCACTTAGACTACGAAGCACAGCTCTAATACCCAGTATGTGCGTATTTACACATTTACAAGAGTACTTCACATCATTAATACATTGTAATCATCTTTTTCGAAGTATAGATAATGAAATTTGTGCAGCTTTGTGAACACACCTGTCTGTGTTTTATTGCAATAAGCAGTCTCTCCTTGTATGTCATATATAAGAAGTGTACCTAAGGTCAATTATTTAAACTATAATGTAATTTCCATTACAAAAAGTATAAACGGTATTACCTACTGATCAGAAACGCTTATCAGTACCCCATCGCCACCACCCCACCCTAGGCCTACCCCATCCTACACCCTCTCCCTCTCACATACATGCACACACACTCCCTAACATGCATATCGCTCTGGCCCATCGACCCAATATTGTAACCTTTTAAACAGACATCATGTGTATGTCAAGAAAGGCAGGCACGTTAATAGTGGTGCTCATTCATGGGTATCACTTCGCCATGTGTTTCTAATGATCTCCGTGCATTATGGCGTGGTCCGACGCGCTAACGAACCCGATGTGAAAGTTACATTACAGAACCATTGAAATACATGTTAAAGTAGTGTTAATCTTGTAACACTATATTTACCCATTACCAACCATTTACGCGTGTACTAAATATGTGACAAACCTAACCCTGGTCACAAGAGATTTCAAAGGTATTGAAATGCATGTCCTACAATCACAGCATTTACATACGTTACACATGCTATTATAAGGGTATGAAGAGAGCCTAGAATACATGATATGATAAACAAGTGCGAGAAATATGCCACGATTAACAGCTGAAGAGAGAGAAAGAGCCATTGGGATTGTGCAGATGGGGACGATATACAATGTCGTGTCTCGAAATAATAACAGCTATGAGTCATAAGCAACGAGAACAGATAAAATATTGAGGTTGTTTTATGCAGAACAATGTGTCACGAGGCTGAGTAAGCAAAAAGGTACAAAATATATAAATACAAAAACAAGGGTGGGAGGGAGGGTGATTACAAAAGCTAAAAAGATGATGTGGATAAAAGGCCGCACAAATATGGAGTGGGTGGGTGGGTGGGTGGGTGGGTAGATGGGTGAGTGAGTGGGTGGGTGCGTGAGTGAGTGAGTGAGTTTAGTTTTACGCCGCACTCAGCAATATTCAAGCTATATGGCGGCGGTCTGTAAATAGTCGAGTCTGGACCAGGCAATCCAGTGATCAACAGCACGAGCATCGATCTGCGCAATTGGGAGCCGATGACATGTGTCAACCAAGCCAGCGAGCCTGACCACCCGATCCCGTTAGTCGCCTGTTAGGACAAGCAACCCGGACCTTCACGGGTGTAGAAGGGACGGAAAGGAGAGGACACCACAATACAAAGGCGTGGATGACAAGTGCGCTATTTTGTGATTGGTTAATGTACTTTGACAGACAGATGCGGTCACGTGGACTTAAAGTGATTTTGCTTCTCAACAACGCTGCAAGTCACAAGTTTGCGAAATGTGACCAAATACCACGTCTCATATTCAACCGATGGATGCAGGAATAATTCGGACATTCAAGGCATACTACAATCGATCGCTTGTTAGACATTACCTCACCTGTGCTGAGGAAGGACGTGATCAGACACGTCGGATCAACATGCGGATGTCACTCGGTAAAATTATTCATGTGATGAATTCAATGAGGAAGGTTAAACGAACACAAACAACAATGAACGACTTTTTGCTATGACTATAGATTATTGTTGTGCTTACTATGCATTGTTTTATAAGCTTTACATTAAATGCTTATTTGTTTTATCCAGATTTGTGTCGTTTTTGTAATAGTAAGGGAAGCAACTCTTGCTTGAATTTGGGTCTTGATTCAGTAGTCCGGACTTTTCGCAATCCGGACGAATTTGGTGAGAAACGCAACCGTCTGGATTAACGAGGCTTCACTACTTACGTCTGTAGAACATGTCGCTCAAAGACTGACTGACTGAACCTACTTGGTCCAAATGCTGTGAATATCCCGCTCATGTTGGCCTCCGCGGGATCAAACCCGTGTTCGCCAAGCATTGGTCCTGTGTTATAAGCGTAGGAACCAAAGTTGGGATGGAGGGTGAAGAAACCAAACCACACATAGGTTTAGTTTCTAAATTTGTCAACAGATTCTTTGGAAATAGAAGACATTTGTCGTACATGAATTACATCGGTTCAGAGATGTACAAACTGGATTGTACCCGAGTCAGCGTTGTAATAGCCAAAACACTCATGTATGTAATTTGACAGTTATGTCGTCAGTGGTATCTGAAGTGATGAATTAACCTTGTCAGCATGGTTAGATAGTGACAAATTTATATTATGTTATTAATTCACTGAATATATAGATTAATTCATCAACTGCCGACTATTTATTGTATTTGTTACTAAATGTTCGTATTTGTGAAATGTGTGATATTGTGTGGTTTTTATTTGTTTGTCGTTTAACGAAACCCGCGACCTTCCGCTCTCAGAGCGGACGCTCTAACCACTACACCACGGAGGCGGTCGAGTCTGGAGCAGACAATCTAGTTATTAACAACATGATCATCGATCTACGCAATTGGGATACTGTGACATGCGTCAGCCAAGTCAGCGAGCCTGACCACCCGATCCCGCTAGTCGTCTCATACGACAAGCATGGGTTGCTGAAGACCGATTCTGACCCGGATGTTAACGAGTCCCACATTGTGGATTCGTTGCGGACGGAGCAAACATAGTTTGTCCAGGAGATTCCTACCGTATCAATATACCAGGGCATTTTTGAAGCCAGCAAGATTGGAGGGACCCGTCTGTGATGCTGAAAGTGCCACCTGTTGGGGATGTTATCCTTCAGATAGGCTGTCACGTGGGGACTGCAATCTTTAAGTGCATTGTAAACCTGACAGAACGAAAGGTACATTCAGAGAAGTATGGGGTACTGTAAGGGGCATTCTCGCGATCTCGTATTCTTGCACTTTTGGCATTTTTAGCTTGTTTCCAAAGGTCGAGATCGTGAGAATGCGAGATCGCGAGAATGTCCCTTACAGTATTCAATTGAGAAACCATTTAGTTGCCATGTTTCGCGCTGACGTAGATGTGAAATATTGACCCCAGTCCTGTTTACATTGACGAAAACAAATTGATTACAATACACAGAAATTCTATAAATGTTCAACACTATTATTAACATAGATTCATCTCGTAGAATTTCCTTTAAACATATATTCTGTTACATATATTTCGTCCATTCGCAGAGTATGAGAAATCTGCCATTGCCTGTCTGTTTGTTTTGGAAGACAGCAACACAGCTCATTTTGTGATTCAGGAGTACTGCTAAACAGTAGTTGTTGTTGTTAAAGCGGCGTAAATTATACCAACAATTCCGTTTCATGTTCCAAATCAAAAGCCGTTGTTTTATCCCTGGATGCCCAACTAATACACATTGTATAGACTGTGGACCGACAAGCCGTTGTTTTATCCCTGGATGCCCAACTAATACACATTGTATAGACTGTGCACCCACCAGCCGTTGTTTTATCCCTGGATGCCCAACTAATACACATTGTATAGACTGTTGACCGACAAGCCGTTGTTTTATCCCTGGATGACCAACTAATACACATTGTATAGACTGTGGACCCACCAGCCGTTGTTTTATCCCGGGATGACCAACTAATACACATTGTATAGACTGTGGACCCAACAGCCGTTGTTTTATCCCTGGATGACCAACTAATACACATTGTATAGACTGTGGACCCAACAGCCGTTGTTTTATCCCTGGATGCCCAACTAATACACATTGTATAGACTGTGGACCCACCAGCCGTTGTTTTATCCCTGTATGACCAACTAATACACAATGTATACACTGTGTACCCACCAGCCGTTGTTTTATCCCTGGATGACCAACTAATACACAATGTATACACTGTGGACCGATCAGCCGTTGTTTTATCCCTGGATGACCAACTAATACACAATGTATACACTGTGTACCCACCAGCCGTTGTTTTATCCCTGGATGCCCAACTAATACACATTGTATAGACTGTGGACCCAACACCCGTTGTTTTATCCCTGGATGCCCAACTAAGACACATTGTATACACTGTGTACCCACCAGCCGTTGTTTTATCCCTGGATGCCCAACTAATACACATTGTATAGACTGTGCACCCACCAGCCGTTGTTTTATCCCTGGATGACCAACTAATACACATTGTATAGACTGTGGACCCAACACCCGTTGTTTTATCCCTGGATGCCCAACTAATACACATTGTATAGACTGTGGACCCACCAGCCGTTGTTTTATCCCTGTATGACCAACTAATACACAATGTATACACTGTGTACCCACCAGCCGTTGTTTTATCCCTGGATGACCAACTAATACACAATGTATACACTGTGGACCGATCAGCCGTTGTTTTATCCCTGGATGACCAACTAATACACAATGTATACACTGTGTACCCACCAGCCGTTGTTTTATCCCTGGATGCCCAACTAATACACATTGTATAGACTGTGGACCCAACACCCGTTGTTTTATCCCTGGATGCCCAACTAAGACACATTGTATAGACTGTGGACCCAACAGCCGTTGTTTTATCCCTGGATGCCCAACTAATACACATTGTATAGACTGTGGACCCACCAGCCGTTGTTTTATCCCTGTATGACCAACTAATACACAATGTATACACTGTGTACCCACCAGCCGTTGTTTTATCCCTGGATGACCAACTAATACACAATGTATACACTGTGGACCGATCAGCCGTTGTTTTATCCCTGGATGACCAACTAATACACAATGTATACACTGTGTACCCACCAGCCGTTGTTTTATCCCTGGATGCCCAACTAATACACATTGTATAGACTGTGGACCCAACACCCGTTGTTTTATCCCTGGATGCCCAACTAAGACACATTGTATAGACTGTGGACCCACCAGCCGTTGTTTTATCTCTTGATGCCCAACTAATACACATTGTATAGACTGTGGACCCACCAGCCGTTGTTTTATCCCGGGATGCCCAACTAAGACACATTGTATAGACTGTGCACCCACCAGCCGTTGTTTTATCCCTGGATGCCCAACTAATACACATTGTATAGACTGTGCACCCACCAGCCGTTGTTTTATCCCTGGATGCCCAACTTGACACATTGTATAGACTGTGCACCCACCAGCCGTTGTTTTATCCCTGGATGCACAACTAATACACATTTTATAGACTGGGCCGACCAGCCGTTGTTTTTTACATGGATGCCGAGCAGAAGGCAGGAAAACAACAAGTACCATGAAACGCCTTTGGGCATGACACGGCCATGGAACTGACCCTCAAACCTTCAGCTCTTTGGGTAGATGTCCACTACACCACGGGGGCGATATCACAATAGTAGTTCATGATTACTGCAAACTGCGATAAAATAACTTCGATATTAGCTTCTTTTTGTTGCATAATCTCCAATATGTTATAACAAATCGCCAAAGAAATATTGTCATTGCACTGAACACCACACGATATTTACCTCTTGTAGACGGCCTTGTTTAGGCCATACACAGGCATGGGAGACGTATGCATTTAGATTGACCTCGACAGACGACGTAGGAATAACGTCACTGACGTTGACGACTTGTGACGGCGATATTGTTGTCATCCCATGGTCAGAGAAAATCATCACGTAGACGGTGTCGTCCAAGCCGTGACTCGCAAACTTCCTCAGCATCCGTCCAAGTTCTTCATCTTCTTCCTCTATTGCCGAGTCTACATACTGGTCATCGTCGGTGTCCATAGTCGTCCACCTTCTCATGGTAGACCACTGGATATAAAGTATCAAATGTAATTCGTTTGATGTAACTACGTATATACTACTCCTACTACTACTACTACTACTACTACTACTACTACTACTACTACTACTATTGCTACTACCACCTCCACCACCACCACCACCACTACTAGTACCACCACTACTACCACCATCACCACTACTACTACCACCACTACTACTACTATTACTACTACCACCACCACCCCCACTGCTGCTACTACTACCACCACTACTGCTACTACTACTACTACTACTACTACCACTACTACCACCAGTACTGCTACTACTACCACAACTATTGCTACTACTACAACCACAACTGCTACTACTACTACTACTACTATTACTACTACTGCTACTACTACTACCACCACTACTGCTACTACTTCTACTACTACCACTACTACTACGACGACTGTTGCTGCTACTACTACTATAGTTGATGCAGCTGGTAATACTTCTGCTACTGCTACAGCTACTACTACTACTACTACTACTATTACTACTACTACCAAGACCACCACCACTACTGCTACTACCACCTCCACCACCACCACTACTACTACTACTACTGATCCAACGTTGGCCCGACGGTCACGATTACGTTGGGTCAACGTTGGGCCAACGTCATAATGCTATCTGGGGTCTTTAACTCATTAAGGCCGAGAGACGCATATATGGGGCATATTAATCAGCTCCTCACAGCGAGTGACGTGTTTATGGGGCAGGTAATTAGCAGTTTCTCACAGCAAGAGCCACATACAGTCGTCAACAGAAAGCACCTCTTATTCAGCGAGAGATGCACATGTGTGTTGTACTTTTAAAAAATCGCACTGT